CACTATGGGATTCCTCATACCCTCATATCTGATAATGGGAAGCAGTTCGATAACGAAGAATTCAAGTAGTTTTACGACGAGTTGGGTATACACAAAAAGTTTGCCTTAGTCGCAAGGCCGCAAGCAAATGGTCAAGTTGAAGCTGTCAACAAAACCATCAAGCACACTCTAAAGGCCAAACTCGACGCAGCCAAGGGAAATTGGTCCGACGACCTTCCTGAAGTCCTATGGGCATATAAGACAACTCTGAGAACTTCTACCTTAGAAACCCTTTTTTCGCTAGCATATGGCTGTGCAGCGATGATCCCTGTGAAGGTAGGAACTGGTTCACTTCGAAGGGACCTATTCAATGAAACCGATAATGAAGCGTTCATGCGCGCAAGTCTAGATCTAGTTGAAGAACATCGCAGCAAGGCTCAGCTAAGAATAGCAACCTATCAGCAACGCGCGAAAAGGTTCTTTGACTCTAAGGTCAGGAGAAGAGACTTCTGGGTCGGCGACCTCGTTTTAAAGGAAGTCTTTCTCGGTACTAGAGAACCAAGTGCGGGAGTTTTGGTACCGAACTGGGAGGGTCCATACCGCATCACCAAAGTGATAAGACCGGGGACTTATCATCTCAAAATGCTGAATGGTTCCGAAGTATTGTAAGCTTGGAATGCTGAGCATCTCCGACCATATTATCAGTAATTCCAAACTCAATTGTCTCCTTGTAAAGATTTTACTTTTCTCAATCTTTGTAAATAGAAAATGTACAATTCTGTTCTTTTGTAATCATTTTCCCATGTATACAATTCTGTAAACTTGTACCAATGTTATTATAAACAGTAAGAATACGAAAATTGTAAGTATTCATGAAAGATTGTAAAAAGCAACGTCTTTATTCATAATAAAAAAGGGAAAGTACATGGGCAAATAAGGAAAAAACTACAGAAGGAGATTACTAATCCTCGTCCCTAGGCTAGTTGTTGACTGCCTGTTCGGGTGTGGGCTCCTCTGGAACGAACTCTGGATGATCCGCTTCCAAGTCGGGTCCTTGAGCCGCTTCCTCAGCCTCGGCCCACGCCATGGAAGCAAGTTCGTTCTGATAGTCGTCAGGGAGGTTGGATAGGTCCATCTCAGGGTTTTTCAGCTAAAGGGCAAAGATGGACTGCATCGTCCATTCTGCAGCCCTACTCTCGATCTTTGCCTCCTATTGCTTTATCTCCGCAATCAGTAAAGTGATGCGACCTCGAGTAAAGTGGAGCTCGGCCTCAAGCGCTGATCGCTGCTTCTCAGTAGTCTCCCACAGATCGCCCATTTCCCTCTCTGCTCGTAAGGCCTACTCGGAGGCTGTTTATAGCGCCTGGTCTTTCTCGCCAACCTCCCTGATAAGTCTGACCACGGTCCTCTATAGCTACTTCACCTCCTCACTGTGCTTCTTTAGCTCGAACTTCTGAAATTCCACCGCGCAAAGTGCAGCATCCCTTTCGGACAGATGATGCCCTGCCTGAATGACAGACAAGTCTCTGTCTGCTCGCGTGGCCTCTAGTTCCTGCTTGGGCTGTGTATTCTTTGCCCTCATTCGACCAGTCCCTCAGCAGCCCCCAGCTAGACCTTCTGCAAGGAAAGGTGCATGGAGAGCAGGGCCTGCATAACGAAGAGAATAAAGTTAGTCCTTTATATTACAAAAACAATTGTCCTCGCTGAGGGCAGCTCGTTTACCTTGCTCAGGTGCTGGAAAGACGTGGTCATCAGGTCCATAGTGCCGGAGGCTACGAACTACTCAAAAGCCTCCGCAAACCTACATTCCAGCAAAGCAAAGACTACAGACTGTAGATAGTCTGGTAGCTGACCTGTTGACTCCAGCACGGGGCAAGTAAAGTTCCCCCTACCGACTCCTTTCCCGACCTCCTCCTGGGGACTGTGGTCGCCTGTTGTCTTGCCTGCGGACCTTCGGGAGTGATGGAGATGCTGGTCATGCCCCCAGGTGGCCCTCCCGAGCAGACAACTTGGAAAGGTTGCAACCTCTAGGGCTGAACTCCTAAACCCTCCGGTTCGGACTCCGACTCCTTAGTCCAAATTTGCCTCTTCTTTTTAGGCCTCTAGGCCATGGTTTTTTGCTTCGGGCAAGTAGTCGAAGGCTGGGAAGCGCCCACAAGTCAGGCCTGATTGGCTGTCGACATCCCTCCGACAGGCAAACCGCTGGGAGCTGCTCCAGCTGGTCCGGTGACACCCCTTCGGGGAAACGAAAATTGTCGTGGTTGCGGTGATTTGGGCGCTTTGGGAGGCATGATCACTGCACGTGAACATCGTTAGTAAACAGTTCCCTGTATGCAAAATCAAAAAGGCTAAAGTCAACAAGCTTACTCGGTATGGTCTCTGGGGTCGCTTCTGAGTTAAAGAAATCGTACTTCCACAAATTTGCGGTTGTCAAGAGCAATCTTGCATCATGACTCTCTTTGGGCAGAAAGCCGAAGGTAGTGATCCTATCCGGATCCTCGAGGAGCTCTAACCTGGTCGTTTTGTTAACTGCGAAGAAACAAAGAGTTCGTTAGCAAAGAACGAAAGAAAGCTCACGAACTCAAAAGAAATGAGAACCTACTTGGATCTTGAAAATGGCAAATGCCATCATGACCAAAGAAAAAGAATTTCGTCTCGTATGCCCTTACATTGCTCAGGTAACTGTGTATTCCCGCTTCAATGGTAGTTCGCCTGGAAAGGTAGTAGGAATCCATGTCCTTACTCTTTTTCAGGATGTACGAGCAACCGAGCTCTAGTGCGGTTAGCTTGCCCAGTTTGTTTTCACGGCACGCGATGTACATGGCCACGGCTATCATGTACGAGTTCGGTGTGAGCTGCAAAGGTACGACCCCGAAATGGTCGAGGAGCGACCTGACAAAGGGGTGGAAAGGGATCAACCCCACACCCTTAAAAATGTCCTCGAAGATCGCAGCCAGCCCTCGTGGCAGATTCTGAGCTGTGTGTGTCCTGTCTCGAAAGACCTTCACGCTGATAGCGTATTGGTCTACCACCCTTTGAAGTTCTTCGTCTGTAAGTATCGACAGGATCTCTCGAGAGGGACCCATAGGAGCATCCTTCACAGGCGAGCTGGTCCTTTCCTCGGCTTTGGTTGTTGGGGGGTCCATTCTACTGCAGTATGCAAAAGCGACATGTAAGGAATCACTCAGTCTTCGTACACAGTTTCGTACGATGATGTGGAGGAAAAAGAAAATACTTCCTTCCTTAAACCCTAGAAAAACCCTAACATAATACTTTTAGAGCCACCATTAATGGCTCAATCCTAAAGAGAATGTTTCATCTCCGATCAACTTTCGACAGACTGTCATTGCACGGCAACTATTGAAAACAAGAAAAAAATAGTAAAGGTGGCAGAAGGATCATCCTTACCTCTTGAAATGAGAAGATTAGTCTTCCTGCTCCAGATATCAAGTGTGCACCAATCTGGTAGACAAAGAATCAAAGCTCACGAGAATCTCTTGCTCTCTCTCTCTGAGAAGATGAATACTATGACATTGCCTGAAGTGAACTTGGGATTTTATAGGGAAGGAAATGACGTTTTGGTTTCCTGAAGTCAAACAACGTTTGGGCGGAAAATACATCTCACCATTGAGACCACGTGTCATAGATCAGCAGAGAAGAGTGACCGTCACGCTTCAAGAAACCAAATCGTCGTTCTCTTCCATTGAAACACTCAAGAGACGACACATTTTCCCTCCTCCATATTAAATGCACTCACATCTGCATTTAATGCTCTAATAGGGAATGTCATTTCAGCATGACTTGCATTTAATGTGCATGGCTGGCACTTATTGCGTACAGGACACGTCTGTCAGAACAAACGATATTTCATTAAACGCATCAGCTATGAAAGTGCAACGGATAACATTTGAAGAGGTCATTACGAACAATACTCTTTGGCTCATATCTCACCGCGAGGCAACGTGACTCTTCGGCTTGGATGTATATTGGTCGCGAGGCCTTACGATCTCTTACGCAAAAAATTTCGCAAAGTGCAATCAGGTCGTAAACCTCGTCAGAATATCAAAGTCCATCGTGGCACTGGATATGGTCTAATACAGGTCGCTGACCCTTAAAGTAAAAGCCATTTCAGGTCGCCTGCATGAAAAAGTTTCTTCGACCTCTTTGCATCCAGGTCGGGTCAACCAGTGTTCAAACGCATCAAATTAAGGCATAATATGTAGTTTCCAAGGTTCGATTCTCAAACCTTAAAAACTAGGGGACTTCTATTATGCCTGGAAAAGCAGGGCTAACGCAGAGCCCTATCAGCACAAGTGGTCAGAGCTTAGGTAAGTCCAGGTGTGGTTCAAGTGCAGCCATGTCGCGCGCTGACGCAAGAGGCATGCTCCTGCCAGTGCAGTAGGTGCACGTCAGGCTGGTGAAAGGCTGGAGGTGATCCACGTGTCCAATCCCTGTGAGAATTGAGTAAATCACTCGGGCAGGTGAATAACGGGGCGCAAGGAAGGATTTGGACAGAAATCTAACCCACTTCCTGATTTAGTAATCATTACCTCAATCCATCCCACTATAAATAGAGGGCTCCTCTCCCGTTTGTGGGATTAGTAAAATTTCTCTCTGTAATAGCATACTTATTTTCTTCTTGTAAGTCAACTCGTGAAACGCGACCTGACCTCAATATATTAATACAATATCAGTGGACGTAGGAGTCGCTTGTTTAAGCATCCAAACCACTTTAAACATCGTTCTCCATCATTTATTCATTCTCATACCCCCATTCACGTGTATTCTCTAGGTCAGCTCAGCATTTCACACGTACGTTTAGTTGGTGTCAAAATCACACATCAACAACCTTAAACATTTTCAGGATATTTAACATCATCGTCATGCGTTAACCAGAGTTAAAATATCAGGAACTTTCAGGATTTTAGCCTATATAAATAGTTGTATAAGGCCAGGGCTTTCCAAAAGACCAACACAAAACTCAAGTAATAAACTCACTGTCCAACCTCAGATACAGCACAATGGCTTCCCTCCAAAACCGCAACTCTGAAAGCCAAATTCCGGCTGAGCTCCTTACAGCCCGCATTATGCAAATCCATGCCAGCATTTCGAAACTTGAGTCTCTGAAGCCTTCAAAGCAAGTCAATAGCCTCTTCACTCAACTTGTGAAACTATGTACCCTCAATTCATCCATAGACGTTAAAGCCTTGTCCCCAGAAGTTCAAAAAATGCGCCAAAGTCTCACACTTCTATGTGGCCGAGCTGAAGGTTTATTGGAGCTAGAGTTTGCATCATTCATAACCAAAATCCCCCAACCTCTAAACAATCTCAATCTCTTTCCTTATTATGGAAATTATGTGAAGCTAGCACACCTAGAATGCACAATCCTCTCTCAGAATGGAGTGGTGCAACCAAAGAAGGTAGCCTTTGTGGCTTCGGGTCCAATGCCTCTAACATCTCTTATAATGGCTTCACATCACATGAAATCCACACACTTTGATAACTTTGATATGGATGAGGCGGCCAATCATGTGGCTCGGAAAATTGTGTCTTCTGATGCCGAGTTTGAAAAGAGGATGAAATTTCATACTTGTGACATAATGGAAGTGAAGGAGAAGCTAGGAGAATATGATTGCATATTCTTGGCAGCTCTTGTTGGAATGAGTAAAGAAGAGAAAGTGAAGATTCTTGGACATATTAGGAAGTACATGAAGGATGGAGGAGTTTTGCTAGTGAGAAGTGCAAATGGAGCAAGAGCATTTTTGTACCCAGTTGTTGAGGAGAATGAATTGATGGAGTTTGAAGTTCTCTCCATATTCCATCCAACAAATGATGTGATCAACTCAGTCGTTCTCGTTCGCAAGCCAATCTTTTAAACAAGAGAAGGATAATTTGCTTTCTTTAATAAGATTGCCAGCTACAATATTGGCTTCGTGTGTTTTTATTTTCCTCCTATTAAAATAAAGTGTTATCTGGTTTGTTTTGCTCTAGTTGTAATGTAAATGTGCTTCCATGTAAGATATTTTCTGTAACCCTTCTTCTTTAATTCCGAGTGTTTGTAATATGATATGATGCCACTTAAATATTGCATGGTAATGAAGCACATAAACCATTGAAGCTTCTAACATTAATATTTAAGAGGCGCCGATTTATGAACTGTAATTTTGGGGAGGTGTGAATTTGTATTAAAAACTAAGAGAAATCAAGAAAGAGGAATTCGATGAAAATTGCTTCTGGTATTGATTGAGAGTAACTAATTACAGAGCGGGAACAATTCTCCGTTTTATACACCTTTCTTTTAACAGCTAACTGTAACAAACTATTTAACAGTTTTTTTCTTATAAACAAAACGACATCATTTCTTATAAGCAAAACGACATCATTTTGTCTAATTATAGTCTGCTCCTATTACTTGACACTTTTACATTTTTATTTCTTTTTGAGTTGTCAACAGGCGGGAACTTCCAAGAAAATAAACAAGTACGAATATTGCAGCAAATATTATTTTAGCATTAAAGATTTGGACACTTTTAAAAGACTTTGTTTTTACTTTTCACTGCTTCCCAGTCACATTTCTGGAAAAGTAATACTGATAAAAGGGCAGGACTCTTGTCTTGACTAGACATGGCAAAACCGGGGATCGGGCGGGTGCGGGTTGGGTCTAAATGGGTGTGGGTCTTATGGGTACGAGCCCAAAACAGGTCAATTTAAACGAGTCCAATATTTTGAACCCGTACCCTACGTTATGCGGGTACGGGTGGACCTGCGGGTGCCTATACTGTTCACTCTAGTTTTAGATTTTTATAGTTACACCCCCAAATCTTCCTAAAATCTTGATTCTTGAGCAAAATTTGTCTTTCTCAAGTCCAAACAAAAATACTCTTACACCCAATATAGTTTTAGTTAAGAAAAAACATATTCAAATTTCTATAATCATTCAAATTATCATCAGAACGAATAAGGAGAATCGGATTAAACCAAATAAAAATCTCTAATCCCCAATTTTAGATGTAAATTGAATTATTTAACATGAAAGAAAATAACTGAAATTTTAAATAATTAATTTTGATGAACTCGGCTAACACAAGATTTAGATAAATCAATATGATCTCTTTTCTTTTTCCCCACAATTTAGAATCATTTTCCCTAGTTTTCTAAGCTGCCAATCACGAATCAAAACCATACACACAAACAAGCCCAATTTAAAAAAAAAAAGAAAAACAAAAAGTCCCTTACATTATTTTCTCCCTTAAGTTTTCTCACCAACCAAACAAAAACCCATAACCTAACAAGGATTGTGTGTGTGCACCACACGATATAAATAGTAGTTGGGTAGTCCATGGCAATCAAAGGGGAAAAACAACAATATTTAATTGTGAAGTAGGTCAAATTAACATTCCCACTGAAGGTTTCTCTAAACTACAATATCATACCCTTGGTTTGAAAAACCATCAAAGTTATTAGTCTCCAATCCATTCATTCAAACTGGGGTTCAACAGAGTTTGAACATCAAAATGTGAATTTACTCTTATATATCATTATTAAAATAACAAATACAACTTCAAAATAGCCTTTAATCTCCCATTCATCTTGAATCACCAAAATTAATGTAATATCCTCTAATTTAAATTAATTGTTTAACTTGTATTGGACTGAAACTCACAATATGTATTTCTGTATTGAAGGTAAATGTTATTTCACTCAAGAGTTATTTTCAACATTATATTACTGAAGTTACCTAAATAATATAAAATTATTTGTGTTACTGTTTTGTTCATAAATTAAATGTTTTTTTAATGGTTTTTGGCTCATTAATTGTCCATATTTATGTACAGTTACTGTTAGCTTAATTACTGTTACCGTTACTGTCATGTTCAACTGAATTATTTTTATGAATGAGTAATACTACACCTGTTAGTGTATGCCCTAGGAACCAATCGTGTCATCGGTTTCGAGACATTATGTTTTGTATATATATGTGAATGTATATAGTTTGTATTTACATTTTATCTTATCAATAAAAGAAAGTGTTCTTATTTCACATGTGGTTTATTGCTTCATTTATATATATGTATTACATGCGAAATGTCTGGATGATACAAATCTTTAGAAGATCAAAATCATCAAAGTATTCCCTACATAGGTAATATTACTTGGGCAATAATATTACATAGTAGGCACGTTGAATGCCTCCGTAGAATATCATGTGATGGTATTGGTGTGGGTGATTATAAAAGTTATATCACTAGGGCATTAGCATGGATACGCGGTTAGTGAACTGTTTATCGAATATGGCCATTTATGATGAATCACATGGACATTTAAAATGTAGTCAATGATTTATCATAAGATCGTACTAGGGTATTTTTAATCCTTAGACCTGAGATATCACGGTTGGATTCTGCATAAACGCATATGGTTCATATGGTGTATAAACATGAGGCTAATCATGCCATGTGTTAATAAGCCGATTTGGCCATGTGTTGTTTATGTGTGAGGACAAGTGATAGTCAAGATGGGATCCGTTGACTTGGTATAGATTGATATCAAGTTCCTAGACAAATGTCAAGATACATTGGAAAAGGGAAATCTCCGGCCGGGGTATATAAAATGTTACATGAAAGGTTGTTTCATGGTGACACGTTCCATATGTATTGTATTAAAATTAAGATAAGGATTTTGACATACCATGAATCCATTCTTAATTGGGATTAGACAACGGAAGGATTTGATTATACAACATGTATGATTGTAAAAGGTTCGTTGGAGTATATCTTCATTGTGACTTAGGGGTTATGGAGCATTGCTAGATGCCTACCATAATCAGTGGGAGTTTTGTTCATAAAGAGTTATGACAAAACATATCGAAATAGTCTGTGATATTGGGCCCACGGCTAGGCCACAGTGAACCTAAGAGGTCACACATAAAAACTAAGGAGAATGAAGAAATAGCCAAAGAGAGTTGATTATCCAAGGTTGGCTAGCACCTACCAAAGGTAATAAAGTTATTTATATTAATCATTTTCTTTATATTAAATTGGATTTTACAAGGGGTTGTAATTGTAAACAATTTAAGGGTTAAATTGTTATGTAAACAATTTAAGAGTTAAATTGTTAATTGTGATTAAATGTTAATCCAATGTTATAATTTAAAGAAGTTTAACAACTTCATAACAATTATGGAATTGTTTAAGGAAGTCCAAAACAATTATTGAATTGTTTACAAGGATTCCTATATAAAGAAAATGATATATGAATTTTTGTGTAGAGAAAAATCTCTAAGAACCCTAAATTTTCCTCTTGGTCAAATCTCTTCTTCCCTTGGTGTGGATACTCTTTTGCTTAGTTTCTCTTGAAATTAAGAGTCTCCAAGGTTGCTAAGGACTTAAGGTAACATGTTCTACCTTACTTATTTCAATTTGATTGAAATTTTTTTTTAAACTATGACTATACTTGTTATAGCATGATATGCTTGATTCTTCATGAATCCATCTTTCAACACCAACAACCTTTTATCACAAACTTTCTCTTACAATTCTGATGTGATAGCTCGCAATTAATTAGTGGGACCCATGTGAGACTCATTGTGAACTGACCAATTGTGAACTGTCACGCCAAGGTTATGAGAGAAAGTTTGTGAGAGAGTGTTATTAGTATAGTATTATTCTTTATGAATTGACCGATTGATCGGTCCGCTGTTCTAGCCAAGTCACCAGGAATATAGGTGGTAATAGGAGTGAAATTCAAGTCGAGCAACTTGCGAGCAACTCAGGGTTAGCTCGAAAATAGCTCAAGCTCGATCAGCTCAACTACAGTGTCGAGCCAAGTTTGAACACGTTACTACTCGGCTCGACAAGCTCGCGAGCTTAAGAGAGCTCAATGGTATATGTGATGCTTTTGACAGTAATAGGGGGCAACATGTAATTTTTTAGTTTTAAAATTGAAAATCCACCCATATTCAAAAGATATATAAAAATCAATTTGGGAATTTTGAAAATTGAAAAAAAAACCCTAAAACTAAAACCTCCCTGTCTATCTACTCTGCCAATTTGCCAGTATTCATTATCGATTGTATTATTAATTAGTTGGAAGATGCAGATTTGCTTATTATATCAATCATCTCAAAATTTTCTTTCAATAAAAGTTCTGTTCAATCACAATTTAGTTTATTTAAGTGTAATCTTCAGATACACCATTCACCATCAACCAGCACGATAGTTCACAATGTTAATACAACAAGGTTAAATTTTAGATTAAGCAAAACTAATTTTTTGGCTAGAAGTGTAACAATTTAGCAGGCATTCTGAATGAGTAGGAGGTAATTGTTTCAGCATATAAAAATAAGACAGTAAACAAATCATCATCATGCCCAAATAAATTGTGAACACCCAAATTAATAGATTTATTTATGTTTCGTAAAAAATAAAAATTAAAAAAACTTTTAAGAGGGAAAATAATGATGAGGGCATGAAGTTCTCTCAGACAAATGCCTCGATTTGTCGTCACGATTTAGAGAATGGAAAAAATCGGACTCGTCATCATTTTTGTTCATCACCGAGAAACCTTCCTCCTTCATCATTATATCATTATGTTGTCATCATCATTGATGAGCCAGAAAAAAAAAAAAATAAGGAAAATAAAAAATTAAGACTCTGCCAAAAGAAACCCATTAGGTACCTCATACCTGAAAGGTATTTGTAGGTGAGAGATGAACCAGTGCCGCTACTGATAAGGTTGTAAAGGCCGCTGAGCTTAGTTTTAGGTTTAGGGTTTTTGATCTTTATATTACCCACAATATGTCTTTAATTTACGACTATACCATCTAATATTCCCAAGTTTCAGTGGGCCTAGGCCTTTCTTTATATTACCTACAATATGGTTTCTAAAAAACAAAAGATTAATAAAAAATTTATAATTGGAAAAATTATGTAGAAGATGGATGAA